TTGGGTACTGGGTTGGGTAGTACGGGTTGGGTGTTGGGTACTGGGCTTGGGGCGGGGCTGGGTAGTGGGCTGGGTTCGGGTATTGGGCCACATGGGCCTAGGCCGGGTAGGGGGAGTAGGGCTGTGGGCCGAGAAGGCTGGGTGAGGGGGTGGGGAACTGCCAGGTATTTGGGCCGGGTTGTCGTTGATTCGGGCCGCCTCATCCACATCCACGGCCACACCCGCGATAGTCACCAGAGTTGCCCCGATTTGATCCGCCGAAACTGCCATGCCCAGAGTGCTGCCCGCTGCTGCCCTGCCACGACTGACCCCCGCCCGCCGTGTTGCTGCCGCCGCCGCCGCCGCCGCCGCTGAAGCTGAGAAGGGCGGTGGACTGGCCGGCGTTGGGGAGGGCGTCGGCCTGATGTTGTTTGACCAAGAGGAGGGCCGATCAGACTTCCAAGAACGTCGGGAACGGGTTTTGATACTGCAAAAAGTGAACTTGGCCCCGGATGTCATACGGCAATCCTTGAAGAACTTGTAGGACGAGGGTGTATTCGGTCACCAGAGCATCCACGTCATCGAGATAGTCGGCTAGGTTTTTGAGAGTATGACAATATTCATTTATTGTCTTGGTTCCTTTGACGGTGGTGCGGAACCGGTGCTCCAATTGAATCGCCTGGGCATGCTTGTTGTCATGAAACAATTTGTAGATCGCTTTCTAGAGTGCCGAGGCGGTAGGGCTGTTTGCGAGGACGAGATCAGAGACCTCATCAGAGACGGTAGACAAGATCCATCCTTGAAGTAGGGCGTCGAATTGGAACCACTCGGCATCGTCGCCCGATTTGGCGACGATAGTGCCGTCAAGATATCCCATGAGATTAAATCGAAGAACAAGGAGACGAAAGAGTCGACTCCATTTTTTGTAGTTCGGCTCCGAGATACTAAGTTGAACGGGGATATGGAGTTTAATGTTTGAGATTGTTGTAAAAGCAAGGTGGGGAGATTTGGTGTTGTTGGTGTTATCGGAGGAGACGGAGGAGACTTCGGCCATGGTGAGAGATGGGGGAGATGGCCGAGAGAGAGAGTTTAGGCAGAGAGAGAGAGCTACGGCAGAGAGGGAGAGATATTCTACCGAGAGAGAGAGCCGAAACATGGAGAGGAAGCCGTGAGAATTTTTAGGGCTCTGATACCATGAAGAATTGGTATTTTCCAATAATCATAATGTGTAGGTACATGGGAGTATATATAGTAGAGCTTTCCTAGTTATATTAGGAAACCTACTATGTTAGGAATCCTTAATTAATAAGGACTATACATGTATGGAAACTACTATATACAAAAGATACTAAATATATACTGAATATATTTAACACTTACAGTGATGGCATGGGGGATTGACAACCATGTGCTTGGGTAACAAACGATCATAGGTTTTGAGGATGTTGTTAGTGGTGCGCCAGATTGTATGTTTGGTTAGAGGGAGAGATTGGACAGCAGAAAACTTCTTCCAAATAGGCTGTGTGAGACGAGGAGTAGTCACTTGATGGGGTTCCGGCTGTGATGTGAGGCCATGATAGGCTTATTTCACCGAGTAATGGCCATTGGGGGGAGTGTCTCCCCCACTACATCAGGGGCAGGGGTTGCTGGTAGAGGAAGTTGGAAAACTTCTGTTACGTCGTCAGGGTTGAGGATAGCAGAGAGAGCATCAACGTCCCAGCTGCCGTTAGAGATAAATGCATCAACACGAAGCTTCACACCATGGTTTGGAATAGTGGGGAGGAGCAAACTAGGTAACCATGGGTCTTGCCAAACAAGAACAAATTTTCCATCACCGTTACGCCATGAAATACCAAAGCGGAGAAGTGGAGTTGATTCCTGAATACTACGCCATATGAAGATTGGAGACCTGTGAAAAGGACAATCAAGCAAAGAAGTGTTAGGATAATAATAGGCTTTGATGATTTGAGACACTTGAGCGTCGGGGGTGATGAAGTAGTTTCGACCCCATTTTTCCAAGGAGGGCAATTTTGTAGTGGAAATTTCGAAATCCAAGTCCACCTTCAAGTTTGTGGGTGCGGCGATCCCATCACCACCAATGTATCCCTTTGTCATTTCATTTCCCTTTTGACCACCAAAAAGTGGAGAGGGTGTGCTTGATTTCCCTAACTATTTTCATTTTATTTTGGGCACTCCAAAACCAATACTTTCTTTCGTTAGTTTTAAATTTTTATTGTTCCATTCTTGCATTATGTTATTTGATAAGTCTGTTTTGTCCGTACTTATCTACTCCATGTTTAAGGTGTTATTATCCAATTTTAGATCAAGCAATTAAGTCCTCATATGTTTTTACATATTTTTGCTCATAAATGCAAAAATGTACAAAAGTCAAGTCTCTATTGTAAAAAGAATATAGTTTGGATCAAGAGTGTAGTAAAACGGGCTAAAATCAAGCAACGACAAAGAGCTACAAAAATATTGGCTCATCATTATCAATTGATGCAAAAGAGAAAAATTTCAAAACGAAAAGTTAAGCCAGCACAAAAAATCCAAGGACCAGAATCGACCAAAGGCTGGGGACCTGGCACCCGCCCCATGTGCTAGCCAGACTCCACGGACGAAAAATCCTAAAGAAAAAAGGAATATTCAAAGATTTAACACAAGGCTACCTCCCAGGCGGCCACCCCACTGCTAGCCCTAGCCTAATGACATCATACGTGATGTTTCTGGCCAGTTTTGGAAAGTGGACGCAAAACCAGCCCCGCGGTTTCCCTATAGATACAGTGGATTGGCCTCCTGAAGGCTTGTTTGCAGCATTGTATACTTGGCTTCTAGGATCCAGTATAGGTAAATGCACCGCTAATAGTTCAGAGCATCAATTTCATCTAGTTCTTATACATTAAATAAGTTACTGCAAAATGGAAGGTTAAGGAGGCCGTGACAGGAATGTTGGTATAAAGTTCCATATATCTCTACTTGAAGTGCGCATAAATGGAATCGCGCTCAACTGCAGAAAGTTGGAGATATTTCGCCATTATCAATACAGAAAACCACAAGAATCTTCAGTTTCATTTGTACAAAGTTTGCAGGTCTTGCTCCATATGAGGAAAGGAAAAGCTGTATGGGCACTACAACAGCTTAAGTCCACCGGTTACATCATCCACCATATCTGCTGGTCCTGCACATACAGTGGTTTATGTAAAATGGGAAAACCGAACGGCCAAAAGGATGGTTTGCAAATTTTTAATGTCAGTGGAATAATGAACAGATCAGAATAGGGAGGATAGGCAGTAATGACATATTCGAAAGCTCCAGGACACATGTTAACCCTACCAAGAATTGCCATCACTGTCCTTGAGTCTGCAGATTGGAAGAAAACAGATCACATGATCATCCACCACAATGAAACAAACATAGAAGATTAAAAGAATTTTGTTTCTTTTCCCAAAAAAAAAAATCTATAAGATTGTGTTTTCTTCATAAATATATTTGGCAAGTCCAATGAATGAGTGAATAGTATTTATTTAGTCTCACTCCAAGTAGCTGAACAATGGATGAAAAATTTTGTTTAAGACTTCATTGTCCAAAAAAATTACTCCCTCCATCCCCAAATAAAAGTTACCATTACTATTCCCGCACCAGGACAACTTTTGTTTACTTACATAGTATAATCATATCACCTCTTGTTTTGTAGAACTTTTCACGTACATTTTTAAAATGTAAGTTTTATTTTCAATTTCTATACCAATTTTTGAATTCAATGAATTAAAAAAAACACTTCATTTTGCCTCATAATTCTCTCTGTAACTCTTATTTGGGAATGGAGGGAAAATTAGAGTCCATTTGAAATTGTCCAAAAAGTGTTGAAATAGGGTATAGTGACTTACTAGACCGTGTCATTCAACAGTCATGAATGTATAGATATTTGAACTTTGGAAAATTATCAATGTTTGTAAATATTATAAAAGTTTGCTTTTTTTGACATTAGGGCCAAATGTCATAATATGACATTGGCTCGATTGGGGCACCTATGATGTCCCGTTTGTAAAATTGATGGTTGCTAGCCCCCCGGCAACCGCCCCCCCCCCCCCCACCACCACCACCACCACCACACACACATACAAAGGTTATAAGAACGTACTTGGTGCAATTTGAGTTCTCCCAGCATCAATGGTTATATGTGTTGGTAAGTTAATCAATTTTGCCTTTTCCTGTTAAAAAGAACAGATACCATAAGAAAACTATGGGTAAAATATTTTTGTCAGATAATGGAAAACACTCTCTCTCTCTCTCTCTCTCTCTCTCTCCAGTATGCATATACATGCACACGCTCTATAGAGATGCACAAATCAGTTCAAAGGAGCATACAAGAATATTTCTAAAAGTGATACAAAATATTTGATAATAAGGGGCCTTATGTGTTTACATAGTGAAAAAAATGAATACTTTTATTTTGAATAAAATAAAATAGGAGTTAAAAAACTAGCTAAAAGATGTTAGAAAATAACTAAAAAGGCAGGGGGGTAAAAAATAAGGTGGGAATGGCAGCCAACAGGATTCGAACTTTGGACTAAATGGACAATTTTTCAGGATATAGCCAGCTCCACTACTAGCATACTATGGCTGAATACTACATATAAACACTTTTTGATCTTATCAGTGGAGTCAAGTGACTTCACTTGACCACCCCAAGGTCCGCCCCTGCATGCAATATGCTCTATAGAGATGCACAAATCAGTTCAAAGGAGCATAAAAGAATATTTCTGAAGGAGATAATGTGTTCTGATATGTAAGTAATCGATGTATCAGCAGGCCAAATTAACACTTCAAGTGAAAACTTGAAAACATATGAATAGAGCAACATCAGGATGGCATTATCCTGACACACTGATATACTCCCTCCGTCCCCCATAGATCTTCCCATTAACCCTTTTTATTTGTCCCACATAGATCTTCTCATTACCTTTTTTAACATTTAAAATACCACAACTACCCCCACTTACTTTATTTATTACACCTTTTCCACCTTATTTAATACACCCCACCCATTTTCATTAAGGGTATTTTGGTAAACTTTCACCTTTTTTCAACTCTCCTTAAAAACCGCAAAAAATCAAAACGAGAAGATCTTAGGGGGACGGAGGGAGTAATAAATTTACTTGTAAAACCAACATATCATCTTCACTTTCAATTTTNATGTAAGTAATCGATGTATCAGCAGGCCAAATTAACACTTCAAGTGAAAACTTGAAAACATATGAATAGAGCAACATCAGGATGGCATTATCCTGACACACTGATATACTCCCTCCGTCCCCCATAGATCTTCCCATTAACCCTTTTTATTTGTCCCACATAGATCTTCTCATTACCTTTTTTAACATTTAAAATACCACAACTACCCCCACTTACTTTATTTATTACACCTTTTCCACCTTATTTAATACACCCCACCCATTTTCATTAAGGGTATTTTGGTAAACTTTCACCTTTTTTCAACTCTCCTTAAAAACCGCAAAAAATCAAAACGAGAAGATCTTAGGGGGACGGAGGGAGTAATAAATTTACTTGTAAAACCAACATATCATCTTCACTTTCAATTTTGACAACGACCTTAACCTGACCACACATCTCCCACCTGCAACAATGAATATATTCAATTTATGAATAAAATTGCTCGCTTCCTCCGAACTAAAAGAGTATTGCATGGAAAATTACCTTCCCAGAGCTTTTGGTGCCCGGTTATAAAGCTTCTTGTATAGACCTAAAGTTGCATGGCTGAATATCAATCAAGAGCAGAAAGGGTCACAACAAAAAAAGGAATGCGGAGTATACCTAAAAGATAATAAAAAAAGAAAACGGACTGTTTTCATTTTGGATCCAAAAACAAGATAACAAGCTCAAGTTGTAAGCATAAAGTAAAGTCCATAAAGATTACAATTAGCAGGAAAGACATCAAAACAATGGAAATGAAAATTTGTCACATTATTACTTTACTTGAACAAATTACTTTTTATTGCTTTACACAACAACTTTAATGTCAAATCAATGGGGTTGGCCACAGAGACTAACACATAGCATTCCAAATATTACAGTTTATATCATTACACAAATAAGCTTAATTATTCTGTAAGAAAGGAATAGTATCAGTAATAACTAAATATAGTTTTGAGAGTTCAAGTTCTAGACAACAATAAATACCTGCATTGGGCAGCAATCTTTCCTTTCCCCATCTTTAAGTCGTTTCTTACAACTAAAACCTGAAGAATGGAAAATGAAGTGGTTTAATCTTTTCTTCTTGAAGTGGTTTGATTTTTTCTTCTTGAAAAATATTTCAAATATACAGTAATGGATAAAAAGGAGGAAACTCCAAAGAATTTATAGATGTGAGTTATACTTTGGTTTGATGAATTATAAATACATAAACTTTTGATTGTTAATAGAAAGTTTTTAAGATGGTTAATTTGAAAAAGGAAATAAAATATGAAGATACTCTGTTCGCCGACAGTTTTAGTCCCTTTTTAAATTGTGTCCCTCTATTTTTGTCTCATGCCATATTTAGTAACACTTGTGAGTTTGATTTCTTTTAATCAACGTAAAGATTCCACTTTTCATAATTTGCGAGCAACATATCAGTGTCCCAAAAAATAGTGGGGCAGAGGAAGTAACTTTTTATGTATCAATATGACTTTTGTCAGAGGTCTTTCGGAATCAATATCTCTATCTTTTTTAGGTCAGGGTAAGGGGTTCGTACACTCAACCGTGGACACCACTTTGTGGGATTTTACTGGGTAGGTTATTGTAAGACTTAATTTCTTTCAATAATATAAATGAAAATTTGTAAATATTGTAATTGCTCCTCTCTAGAATTTATAAATAATCATTTTCTTTAGTAAACAACGATAGAATCAAGTTGATGTAACAGAGAAGGTCAAATCAGCAAAACTGAATTTGGTTAATTGGCCGATTTAATAAAATATCATTTAATTCTTTATTTTTGAATTATACTAAGCAATGGGAATTTCCACGCTGTTGGAGTCCTAGAGTTTGTTGCAGTCTGATGGAATTATGGAAACCTACTAGAATTCATTCAGGATCTAAATTAAGACTAAATAGAACTCTCCCTCCCTTCTCCCAAGAAGTATCTCACTAATGAAAAAGGAATAGAAGCCAAGACAATCTCAATGTGATTAATGGTTTATTTTATGGATATCTCAGCAATAGAGAAGCTGGGATATTTATAACTCTAACAAATTGATAAGATCAAAAATAACAAACTGATCTGATAAGATCAAAACAACAAAGTGATAAGTTTTGACTAACTAAGCTATCCTAGGGCCCAGGACTCCTAATAACCTAAAAGTCCTTTTATTTAATAAATATAAAACAGTAACAAACTCAATTAACCGACACATAATAATATAATTAAGGTGGCCTTCTGCTATCAGTGATCCGGAACTTATCATTACTCCCCTCTCTTAAAGACACCTTGTCCTCAAGGTGGAAGTCTGGATGTTGGTGTTGTATTAAGTCGTTCAAATTCAAAGGAAATTCTTCCTCTACTCCTAACTGCAACTTAAGAGACATCATTGAATTTAATCTAATTCTTTAATCAACTTTCGAGATGCCTTGTAATTTATATCACTCCCATCAACCCAAAAAATAAGAAACATTTCATTCCAGTTTGCTTGAATGGTATTCAAAGAGGCTAACCATTTGATTCCAAGAACCATATCTAATCCAACTAGTGGAAATGGGTAAAAATCTTGTGTACGAGTCAAACTTGGAAGCTTAATTGAGACGGACTCGCAAATCTGATCACATTGAATAATAAAACCGCCTCTCTTATCCGTACCCCAAATGTCTGAACAGAGGAAACAGGCAGCTTAAGTTGCTGCACAAGTTTTTCAGAGATGATGTTCTGTGTCGAACCGCTATAAGTTAACAAGAAAACTTCATGTTCATATAATTTTCCCACTTAGTTTCATTGCGGCAGACGTTGGCGTCCCCGGAATCCCATTAAAGGACACTTCCTCCTCTTTTGCCTCCCCATCAATGGGAACGTGTTTGAGATTCATCGGGTTACCCTCCTCATCAACTTCCATCAAGGAGAAGGTAGTGGATGACGCCGAACAACGGTGACCCGGTATAAAGGGATCGCCACACTGATAGCAAAGTCCCTTATCCCTACGTTGTTGCTTCATCAACTCGTCCCTACTAAATCTTGAAATTGGCAAGGTTGGTGTTCTGAAGATCCTGAGAATGCAAGTGACTGGGGCGAGTGAGATTGGGACAAGTTTTTTACCTCTCGGTTTGGGTCAATGATAGAATCTGAACCAGCACCCCGGCCTGATCCCGTAGAACTTGTCATGAAATGCAAAGGTGTATTTCGTTTCTTAAACTCAAGGGCTAGACTAGAAGCCCTGAACACAAATTTGGGATTGTGGATTCTGACCTCCGACCTCAAATCCTCTCTCAAACCAGCAATAAAGACACCCAAGGCCAAGAGACAATGGTCGGGCCAATTTCGGACTCAAGCAACCCTTCTCACCCACTCTTGACGATAGTCCCGTACGGAGCATGTTTGTTTGATTAAGACAAGGTGTTCTTCTGGGTTTAAGTATTTTGGCGGTCCATTGTGCTCCTCAATGATTTTGATGAATTCCTTCCAGTACAAGAGCGTCCTTTCAGCATTGATCCAGGAGAACAATTCGAGAGCGTCACCCTCCAAGTGCATGGCCGGCTGCTATCTCAACCTTATCTTCTTCTAATGTTCCATAGTAATGGAAGTGCTTTTCAGCCTTCAACACTCAGCCCCGTGGATCTTCGCCGCTAAATTTAGGGAACTCAACTTCGGATCTGGGAAACGGCGGTGGCCGCGATCGTTTTCCTCATCAGAATCGTCAATACACTGCTTTATCTTTGTCTTCCCAGAGTTACTTCTGGCCTGCGCTTTCAGGGCAGTCACTTCTGCCTTGAGGTCATCTAACACAGAAAGCTTGGCAGCAATTAGTGCTAGAGTGTTGTTCTGCGAACTAACTTCGTTTGCTGGTTGCTCGTTGGATCCACTATCTTCACTCCGGGCAGTGTTTGAACGAGTAATTGCCATAGGGATCGAGTAACGAGTATCTGATACCAAATGTTAGAAACCTACTAGAATTAATTCAGGATCTAAATTAAGACTAAATAGAACTCTCCCTCCCTTCTCTCAAGAAGTATCTCACTGATGAAAAAGGAATAGAAGCCAAGAGAATCTCAATGTGATTAATGGTTTATTTTCTGGATATCTCAGCAATAGAGAAGTTGGGATATTTATAACAACTCTAACAAATTGATAAGATCAAAAATAACAAACTGATCTGATAATATGAAAACAACAAAGTGATAAGTTTTAACTAACTAAGCTATCCTAGGGCCTCAGGACTCCTAATAACCTGAGAGTCCTTTTATATACTCCCTCCGTCCCATATCTTTCTTCTCACTTTTCTTTTTGGGTCGTCCCACTTGATTCTTCCCATTTCCTAAAATGGTATTAAAATACTCCTAAACATACTCTTTTACCCTTCTTTTCTCTCTCCCACCGCATACCCCTCTCTCATTCAATCATTCTTCTTTCTTTCTTCATTCTTTTGTGCGACCCCCCCCCCCTCCCTCTCTTCTTCTTCATCTTCAACACCAGTCCTTCCCCTTCTTCTTCTTCTTCCCCCACCCCTTTTCTCCTTCTCCGTCACAGGTCCCCCCTACCCCATGTATCCTTCCTTTCTCCTTNCTCTTTTACCCTTCTTTTCTCTCTCCCACCGCATACCCCTCTCTCATTCAATCATTCTTCTTTCTTTCTTCATTCTTTTGTGCGACCCCCCCCCCCTCCCTCTCTTCTTCTTCATCTTCAACACCAGTCCTTCCCCTTCTTCTTCTTCTTCCCCCACCCCTTTTCTCCTTCTCCGTCACAGGTCCCCCCCTACCCCATGTATCCTTCCTTTCTCCTTCTTCGGATCTTCTTAATTATGACTGAATCTTAATCTCAATTCCAGTTCTTAACCCTCCGTTGATGGCGGATCGAAGTGTGGCTTATAGATCTAATGAAGATGAGCCTTTCTTTAAACATTTGGCTTCCATTAGAATGATACGATTTCCATAGAAGACAATGCGATGAGATGTAGCTCGAGCTTTGGAAAGAGATGAATTCGCTCCATTCTAAAGAAGATTTGCTGTATTATGGGAGATTTGATTCTTTTTTTATTTTTAGGGCTCAGGTTCTAATAAATTAGGTGCATGTTGCTCTATTATTTTTTAGATTAGCCTTCAGATCTTGGTTAATTTGCTATATACTCATGTAAATGTTTGCTGTAAATTTTTGCTGTAAATATGTTGGATATGAAGATGATGATACGAAATTGGAGAGGAGATGAAAGATTTTGATATTTCTTGTAATGAAGGCGCTGGGATGGGGGTTGAGGTTAAAGAAGAAGAACATGAGGCTTGGTTGTTCACGATTCAGAATGGAAAGCAGGATGGGAGAAATAATTATGAGGGGCATAATGGGAAAGTCAAATTAATTTTTACTCTACATTAAAACCCGTGCCAAAACAAAATGAGAACTTTCAACTTGGACGGAGGGAGTAATAAATATAAAACAGTAACAAACTCAATTAGCCCACACATAACAATATAATTAAGGTGGCCTTCTGCTATCAGTGTTCGGGATCTTATCATAGTCTTTAGAGTTGTATCTTATGTTATTATCTCAGGTTATCCGAGAATATCTCTCAAGTTGTTTCCAAGTTAGTAGGTGGAGTCTGTTTCCTTCTATCCTTGTATTCTATACATATGCTTTAGACGTCTAATGCTAAGTTGTCATAAAATATAAATCTGATTTATTCCATTGACTCTCATGCATCTTGTTCTTTCTTCAAGTAAGAGAGAGAGGGGGGAGGGAGAGAAAATTTATGGGTTTATTTTTAGATCTTAAAAGTTAACCTCTTTGTGTTTAACAATTGGTATCAAAGCAAGATCTTAAAGTGTTAAACACAAATAGGTTAACAGATGTATTCTTAGATGTCTAAGGTATATATAAATGATAGAAAATAGACTCTGCCTGATAAGTTGGGAACAACCTGAAAGATATTCTAGGGATAAGTATAACTTAGATAATAACAACCAATGAGATAACTTCAATAACTGCAACAAACTCCAGTACTCCAACTGACTGGAGAGTCCTTTTATTGAGAATAATTCAAAAATAAAGAATGAAATGATATTTAATTAAATCAGCTAGGTAACCAAATTCAGTTTTGCTGACATGGCCTTCTCCGATAAGTCAACCTGAATTGATCATAATGAAATGCTAGAATTAGAACTATGAGTATACTTTTCTTAACTGTAGCAAGAGTGCGATGTAAGAAAAGTTCTATGAAAATCATCAAGTATAGACACACTCAGCACATTTCTAAAGAAGATAGGGGTGGCAGCTGCACTACCCCAAGTCCTGCTCAGTTTTTGATATAAAAAGAGTTATACCATCTTGAAGTCCTCAAGAATCTCAGCGAGGTTTTCAATCTCAAGGGATTGTTTGGACGCCTTTTTTTTGTTCAGGTCAGCTACTATTCCAGCCTCTCCAGACGCTCTTCTTGAGAGGAAAAGGTGAGCAGAATGCCGTGCACCAAAAAGATATGCAATAGCAAGGCAGCTAGCACCAAGAAAGAAAGCCCCAAGCCATGCCATATCTGTCATGGTCAAATTATTCAAAGAAGCACCGTGGTCTAAGATCAATCCCCCAAGGAAAATTAAGTGCTGTAAATTTTCCCTTGCGCCAACTCAATCGCACCTAGAACATAAAAGTACAAGGTAAATCTCGCGAGTATCAACCTCTTAGAATAAAAAAAAATTATTACGTGAGTCTTCAACAGTTAAGCTTATAGGATTTCATATTAAATAGTTATTCATGTAAAAATATAATAACATTTCTGGGCTTCTAAAACTCTAACCATCTGCTTTAACTTCGAGAGTAGATCTCTAGTAGTCTAGTCAATAACTTCCATGTCGATTTATGTGAAAGGTATGGAGGAGCATTTACTGCAGTCACGGTTCAAGCCAAAAAGGCATTTACTTGAAAGGTGGTTTAAAGCATAAACTTTTGATGGGTCTCTAACCATCAGCTTAAACATTTGGTAGAGTTGAGGACACAGGCCCACAATTCACGGTGTTGAGGACTAGAGGTATATGTAATTTTTGAAAGATAAGAATGGTTTTTTACTTTATTAAAATAACAAAAAAATACTCCGTGACACATTACTTAACTCAGATAAATCCATACTCATTCATAACCTTACATTACATACAAGATATATAATATATGGACTATGGAGTATACGATGGATTTTACAACTGTGTTCATCTGGTTTTCAAAACTTTAAAGTAATTTTTAATAGCATCAGGATGAAAATCCAAAATTTGCTTCCTCAACCCAGGGGCTACCTTCCAAAGATTCCAAAAATGTCATTTGTTCATATTGATGATTCAAGAATGACAACGCCTGACTAGAAAAGGAGACATCTTTACACTTAAAATTAAAAGTATAAATGAAGATTCAACAAATTACAATTTAAACGATGAACCAATCACAAATTCACAATCGTAGCTTCCACAAATCCCAATTTAATGCTAGAAAAACAAACTGTCAAGATTCAGGGATCAAATGCTCATATTCATTGCAATTACCAACCCTTTTAATGAAAGGAACAGGGTTCGACTAGGAGCGTTACAGTTTCCTGATTCACCTTGGCCTTTGCCAGTCGCCTCTGGTTTGCGTATGTATCCTGTGTGCGAGAAGAGAAGATTAAACGAGGACGAGGAGTGAGGCCAGACCTAAGTCAATAGGTTCGGTTGGATTTAGGGTCTCTTTCCTAATACATGTTATAATGAGTTCGTGTAAGTTTGATTTGGTTGAATTTGTTTCCCGGTTTAATTCGGTTTAATTTTTCCTGATTTCGATTCGGGTTTATTTTAGTTCGAGTTTATATCGGTTCGGATTTATTCCAGTTCGGATTTTACCGGTTCGAGTTTATACGAGTTCAATTCTTTACTTTTCAACTTTCTTGGGTGTGAATTACAGATATCAAAGGCTCAAAGCCCTGTTTGGAAATTACATTAGAGTTTAACATAAGCGTTTTGAAAAAACTATCTATGGGTAGCATTTACCGTTAAAACTTTCAAAGTTAATCTGCACCATTAAAATTTTATCCAAAACACTAATGCTACTAAAAAACGCTAATCCCAAACGGGCTCCAAGTCTTTCTCCATTTGCTTATGGTTTAGGATCACCAGTAATGAAGAAATTAATCACAAGCCCACACTTAATTATAAGTTTTAATAAATTAGTGTTCTAAAAACTTCATATATCAAATAATTAAGGTGTAACTCTGTGACACCATTTCAATTAGGGCGCCTATGGTGTCACGGAGTTACATCATTTGGAATGGTGTAATTCTACATTTCATCTCTCTATACATACATACACTGATACATACATACATACATACATACATACATACATACATACATACATACATACATACATACATACATACATACATACATACATACATACATACATACATACATACATACATACATACATACATACATACATACATACATACATACATACATACATATATAGCCAAAGTTTGTCACAATATAGCCAAAGAAATTAAAATATCCCTTTAATGTTGCCAGGTGGGAAGATATATTATTATGGGAAGATATATTCTTACCGTAATAAAATTAATTATTGGATGAATCTGTTAACTAGTATTAATTCACTTTGTCCACTTTGTTTCAGTTAAAACTTTCCTTCAAGCCGATCTTAGAGATGACACGAGAATAAACTCATCCTACACAGAAGTTGACCCCTAAACTACAATTGTTTATCAAATGGCACATTAAGCAAATATGAGTTTAGAACATAGAGCTGAAATTTCATAATCACAGTAAGAAGAAGTAAGAACATTGAGAATCAGAACTATGAATAATCGAGCATACCTGAAGCTTGGTTGAGGGTGGAGTCAAAGCTAAATTCAAGTGTGCAAAAAGGAAGAAGATCTTTGACGAGGGGATGGCGATCGAAGCTGGAAGCCTGGATGAGGAAGGGAAGACGATTGATGATGATGGTGAGTCTGGAAACTAGTGTGACGCGTAGAGAAGAGGAAGATCGTGATAGTCTCAATTTTTGGGTAGGGAGTCTAAATTTTTCGGGGAATCCAATTTTTTGGGTGGACATCAATTTTTTAAGTGGGACTTCCCCCACCTAAAAGTTCATTTCATTCAACAAAAAATTTCATTATACTTATCCTTAAAAGGTTCACTCAATTTAGAAAGAAGTATTCTGAGCTAATGCAAGTTTTGTTGAAATAAATTTTAAAAAAAATTGGAAAAGAATTAAAAAGTGAAAAAACAAAAATCAAAAAGAGACTCATACAAATAGAGTTAGACCTGGCAAAAGAGAATCAGAATGGATTACCAAAACCAAATGATTTGAAAAGTGAATATCCGATCCATAACCAACTAAATCGAAATGATTCAATGCGAAACAAAATTAAATATATTCATACTCGATTAAAGTTTGAAACTGATAATATACAAATCCGATAATACCCAAAATCGATTGTATCTGAAGTCAATATGACCCGTAATCGATAGGATCTAAACATGATAATACCTAAAACTGAATGTATCCAAAATCAAATATATCTAAAAAATATTTTGCCTCACAATAAATATATTATATTTAAGTACATTAGTATATAATTACATTCATGTGATTTCAAATTTTTGTTTTACGTAACACGATTCAAATTTATCTTCTAAATTTCAACACTATTTCGAAAATATTTTGCGTGACAGTTATATTTTTGTGTTACGCAACACTATTCAAATTTATCTTTTATTTGAAACGCAACGCTATTTATCATTTATCTTTGCATTTAAAAGATAAAGATATTATAAAAATTTAATATATCAAAATTATATGTTAAAATAAATTCAATTATATTAAATTTGTATCATAACTATGTTATAATTTTTTTCACAATTTGTAGTACAAATTTGTAATATATGACTAAAAATTAAAAGTGATCAAAGAAGACCTTCGCATGAATAATCTTGTTGCAAATTTGGTACATGATAGGATGCAATAGCTTCATTTGATCCGCGTATCCCGCCCCACCTAAAGGGATAATATTTTATTATTGTTGTTATTGTTGTTGTTGTATTTACTTTGTATCTTTTTAGTTCTTTGTACTTTTATTTTTTCTTTAATTACTTTTAGTCTCTTTTAAGTAGAAATTTGAACAAGAAAAAAATTGTTTAAACAAATATAAAGGTTGTTCACCAGTATCTGTCTACTTCACTCACTTATCTTGGTCACTCACCAGATCCCAAGTCACTCGATCATGATTGTTTATATGATTCACGCATTCATGATATTCTCGATATTTATTTTCAAGTCAATTCATGATATCTATAATGTTCAATATCTCAACAGTGCTATTAAATTATTCTTAATCTATGGCCAAATAAATTCATAACAAGTTCTAGCTATTCTTAGTCTAAGGCAATATTTCTAATTAGGCTCTTAAACTATAAATAGTTTAAGGCAGAACACAAAAGTCGATAATCCACCCTATGAGTCATGTGGATTAGGTACTAACCGAACAGTGAACTATCGGGCGGGTGATATCCGGTCTGGATCACGTACGTACGTTTTAACCCCGAATTATGAATTGGTGAAGAAGATATATCTTAGAGTTCTTCTAGATATCCTTAATAGTCATAAATTTCCAAGTGGTATATCTTTAGAGTTGTTCTAGATATCCTTAACAATACACATCATTTTTATATTCATCAATATGTCCATTTTAAGTCATGATTTAATCCTTTATAATTATTACTTTAATTAGAATATTAAATCATCATTATCATCAATCAATAATATTTATCATAAGAGGAATTTGCTTAAATAACACTAAAACATAATGACTTTCCCTAAATAGCACCACATGTGTTTTTCTTCCCAATATAGCACTTTTAGTCATTATGCATTAGTCATTATTCAAACAAATATTCGCCATCACTGGAGATTATGGACATTATTAAGTGCTATTTAGGGAATAAAACAGTTTAAGTGTTATTTAGGGAAATGACTTAAGTTTTAGTTCTATTTAGTACAAATTTTTCATATCATAATCATCAAATAATCATAAATAACAAGTAGCGGCCTAGCGTCGAGTGTTAACACCCTAGTTTACTATCATGCATCAAACAAGATTCTTGGATTTATCGAAACATCATATTCATTTCTAAAAATCATATAAAAGTTGATTATAATTGATTGGTATCGAAAATAGGATTTAACAGTTCAAAAATCAAGTTTCTGAAATTCTCTCTAGACAAACGGTACCCCTAACAGTACCTCGGTACTACGGTACAGTACCTGTAACACCCCAACCCGCGTAGCCCGAACCAACGGGTTAGCGAACCGGGTTGTTACTAAATTGGTATTCGCATGCATAATTTTTTAAAAAAAGAAAATAATCAAGTGAATAAATTATAAAATTCATCCATGAGAGTTCAAAACTAAACCAAAATTTATCGGAGTAATAAAATAAGTCCAAACGTCGCGGAAGCAGAATAAAACCAAAGTAACGTCCAACAGTCCATATAACCAAATATAATTATGTGGTTTAATTATTAAAGTAGTAGGAGCCATCCACGCCACACCACCACTTCACTGCCCTCCGGGTTGCCCATCAAAATCTGTGTTCCTACCTGCGTGCAGTCAAACAACAACGACTACACGCTCAGCGAATTGCTGAGTGAAAATATATCTAAGCTAGCATTAACTCACAGAATAACATCACATTAACATACAATCAACAACCGTATGTGGTCACGGAGGAAATAAACATATTTATTTTAACACCTTCCATTTGAACATCATGTCCTTATTTTATTCCACATCAACTACTTTGAGTCATGGCACCCCAAGCGATGCTATAAACGGGCCAGCTCAGAAACCCAAAGGAGATTCACTTTGGGCGGGTTGAAGCCCCTGTCCCTGCGATGCTAGGACAGGTCGCGGACTTCCGTACGTACATTTTTAACCCAAGACCACCAGGGGTGCGACGACGCCCCGCAATGGACAATTTCCTAACCATACCCTATTAGTGATTCAATCAGTCAATCCAATTCAGGTCCGCCTAATTACACTAGGTGGCATATTTCCCATATATCATTCATAATCCATAATATTCACCAATAAGATCAATTTAACTTAAATTTCAGTTCACAATTCACAACAAGTCACGTAGCTGCCTATCCGGGCCAAAGACCCACGATTACCGTCATGCATAATCAAACAACCCGAATTACACTTAACCCAACTTACCTGCGCGGAGTCGAGACCAAGGAATCGATCCTCGGGCCCGCTGCCCCCGCCGGAGCAGTATCAACTACCACCGGATCAGTCGACAACCCGCCGGACCAACCCGGCAGCCCCAACATGCTGCCCATTCAGGCAGCCCCCACTCAACCGGCCCACGCAGCCGGCCCAGCAGCCCGGTCAGTCAGCCCAACGACCCGGTCTGCCCAACTGCCCGGACAGCCCCAATTGAATCCAAACTGACCCGTTTGCACCCAAGTCAAACCCAATTGAAACCCGAATTAACCCAATTAAACCAATTGGGTTCAAATCAAACCAATTGGGTCCAAATTGGACCCACCGGAAACTGCCCGTACGTTGGCCGTAGCCACCTCCGGCCAGCCTCCGGCCAATTCGCTGGAAAACAGCCCCCAACACAACCCGAATCCAATCTAATGCACAATCAACCACAAATT